GGAGGAGGGGGTGGGGAGGGCGGGTGCGGGGGCTTGGAATGGAAGTCTGCTATATGAAGATCACATCAGTCTCACAGTCCAGCATCAAGGACCCCGATTCCAGGAAGTCAACCGATGAATTTCAGGGGCAGACATTTACCTATACAATAGAGCCGCCAATTAATAGCAGTTGCAAACGTTTTATAACCAATCTTCTTTTTGTATCAATAGTACTTGGAATATTTGAGATTTATTAATTTCTGTGATAAGGAAGAGTAGGGAGAGCAATGAAAGAGAGTAGGAAGAACGGAGGAGTGAGGAGGGCAGGGCACGGAAGAGAGGACGAGTGGGAAAGGTGAGCTTGGGGATGAACTTGGGGTGGGAGTGATGTGTAACGACCACGTGACTCATACACCCAGTATCAGCTGTTCAGGTACCTCAGGAAGTCGTTTACATAATTCTATCTGCAGAACATGAACAGCCGTAAGGAAGCCGTCAGTGAACACTGATTCCAGTAACATCATAAACTTTATTATTGATATTTGTCGGAATAGTTGACATTTTTTAATTAGAATGGGAGGATGGAACAATGGGGAACGTGGGGAAAATGGGACTGGAGGTGATAGGGGGAAGGGAGATGGGAGGAGAAGGTAGGAATGGTGGAAATCTAGCGAGTTTGGGATGAGTAGAGGTTTATAAAGAATCACACAGCTCACAGCTCAGCCAATGATATTCCGAGGTAACTCGAGGAAATTAACTAATATATTGCAGCTGCAAAAGAATAACATATAAAATAAACCCATTGATTGATTAATGGCAACTCCAGTAATATAACCTCTATCTGTACATCAGTGTGACTTGGAACACTCGAGAATTATTAATTGGAGTGTATGAGAGGGAGAAGAGAGGGTCCGGAAATGTAGAATTTCCAGAGGAGGGCGGGAGATGGGAAGTGAATGTGGCAATGGAGGAGACTTGCGGATGTGGGACAGTGTATAAAGAGCACATCAGTACGAGCGAGTATCACTAGTTACCCAGAATGCCCCTGGAAATCAATCGGTATATTCTAGCTGTAAAATATGTGAACACAGAAAGTAAAACTACTTGTTAACGGCGTCTCCAGTGACATCATCAAATAAAAGTTTAAACGCCAATTTTGTTTGGTACACTGGGGATTTATTGATGAGACTGAAGAGGATGGGACAGTATTGGAAATGCAGGGGAAATGGGGGTTTGGAGGAAGGTGGGCAGTGAACAGAGAGAGTGGGGGGCAGGCACTGGGGGTGAGTCTGAGATGCGGACAGTGGGTAAAGATGACCTCGAACACATCCCAGAATCCATGACGTACTTCAGCTACCTCAGGAAATCCACTAATTCATTACACCCACAAAACTTAAACATATAAAGTCAGCCAAGAGTGAGGACTCCAGTCCAACAATGATATAATGTACTGAACTATTTCTACTATTAATTTTACTTGGTGTACTCAACATTTATTAACAGAACTAGGATGAGTGAGAAATCGGAGAGGATGGGGGAGTGGAAAGAGATATGTGCAGATGGGACACGCTGGGAGGGGCAACGCAGTATTATAGAGAATGCATCAACCATCCAATCCAGTAGGAATGATTTGTCCAGAGCACCCGAGGGAGCCATTTATTCTGGCTGTAAAACTTTACCATAGAAAGTAGTCACGGATTAGTAGCTACTCCAGTGACATAATGAACTTTATTTTTAATATCAGTTTTACTTGGAACCCGGAGATTTACTTTTACTATGGAAAGATGCAGAACATTAGTGAGGATAAAAAGGAAGACATATTAGATATATCAGAGACATCTGGGAAGCTAGCATCGGGGTTAATTTTATACCAATTAATACTAAAATAAATCAGCATGACTGTGACATTCATCTAAATAAGATGTGGACAGTGGAGTCATAAGACATTCATTCGATGAGATTTTCATTCCAATGACGTCGTTATAGAGCAACAAGTTGCACATCAAAAATCTGAAGAGCTCTATTTGCCAGTTTCAAAGCATTGCTAGGTTCATATGACATTGTCACATGTCATAACCACCTACTGGTTATCAGGAAGATAGTAATTAAAAGGAAAAATATGGGACCTGTGATGAAACCACAATGCTGTCTCTCATCCGAAGCAGTGAGGTGAGTAGCTGACAACCAGCCCAGCACTCTCAGACTCCAGGGTGTGCAGGGTGGAGGTAACGGGCGAGGTTGGAGAAGTAGGAGTGCAGCTGCTTGGCCAAGAATCACTTTGCTATCAAGTGCCTGCTGGAGGGTTTATGTATAATTTAAACAATACGGTGCAATACTGAGAAGCCAGATCACTTGGAAAGAAAACAGAATTATTGTTCTTGTTTTGTGGCACCTAAACTGCTTCCCATCCAGACCCGTAATTTCTTTTAGGTTTCTTTCTTTTTTATTTCATTAATGCACTTTTTAGCGTGTGATAACCACACCCATTCTGGGGGTGGTACAGGTACATAACACATCTTAATTCTTTTCCTTCCTCTTCCTTCCCTTCATTCTCCCTCCTTCACTTGGTCCCTTCCCTAATCCAAATGATTTTTTGAAAATTAATTTTGGTACAGTTTTGACACACATAATGATCACATTCATCACAGGGAATTTTTACCGGTACGTAATATATCTTCATTTTTTCCCGTTCTCTTCAATCCTTCTCTTTTGCAGAACTTGGTTTACACTGTTTTTCTTCCATTCTTTTTTTTATTCTTTTTCAATGCCTTCTCTCCTCCCCCCCTCCTCCCTCTTATTCCCATTCCCACTTGAACATTTTCTTCCTACATCTTAATATCTGTCATGGTCCTTATTTACCCTTATTTTGGGGTTTCTCACGCAAGAAGCAATGTAATAGTTTAAAAACATGTGTCTGATTTACTTCACTTAAAAATATGTTTTCAGGGTGCATCCATTTACCTAAAAATGTCTCAAGTTTATCCTTCTATATGACAGACATAAAAACCACATTTTCTTTACCCATTCATCCATTGATGGGCATCTAGGCTGTTTCCAAGCTTTAGCTATTACAATTTGTGCTGCTATAAACATGAGTGTGCATATATCACTGAAATTGTATGCTTTTAACTCTTTTGGGAAGACACCTAGAAGGGGAATATCTGGGTCAAATGGAACCTCTAGTTTTATTTTTTTTAGGAATTTCCATACTGATTTCTATGTTGGTTCTACCAATTTACACTCTCCCCAACAGTAGAGGAGGTTCACTGTCCCTCACATTCTCAGTAACATTTGTTACTGGTCGATTTCTTGATAACAGCCATTCTCTCTGGAATGAGATGGAATCTCAACGTTGATTTGCATTTCTTGAATGACCAGTGATGTTTAACATTTTTCATGTTTGTTTGCTGCTTATACTTCTTCATCTGGGAAATGTCTATGCATTTCAGATGCCTATTTTTGGATTGCATCTTTAAATTTGAGGGGTATGATTTTTATTTTTATTTTTTTAGTTCTCCATATATTCCAAATGTTAATCCTTTGCTGAGGGACAGCTGCTAAAAATTTTTTTCTCATGCTGTAAGTTTTCCCTTCTCTCTGTTGGTGATTTCTTTTGCTTTCAAGAGCTTTATAATGATGAGATTACAGTTCTGGATTCTTTGTAATAATTCCTGTATTATCAGGATTTTGTTCATAAAGTCTTTGCCTACACCTATGTCTTAAAGAATTTTACTTATTCGGTCTTCCAGCAGATTTAGTGTTTCAGTTTTAATGTTTATGTTTGATCTATTTTGATTCTAGTTTACTGAATGATGACAGATAGGGATCTAGGTTTTTTGTCTTCAGTATGGGGAAAGCTACTTTTCCCATAGCCATTTATTAAAGAGATTTTCTTCCAGTGAAGATGTTTGGCCCCTTTCTCAAAGATAAAGTGGGTAAGTATAGATGAAGTTGTTTCTGCATCTTCAATTCTGTACAATTGATCTTCAGGCCTGTGTTTTATTTTTTATTTTAATTTAAAATTTTTTCTTCCAGTACCATGTTGTTTTTGTCATGGTAGGTTTGTAGTATAATTTCAAGTTGGGGATTCTGATGCCTCCGGCTTTGCCTTTTTGCCCAGAATTGCTTTTGCTATTCTAGGTCTCTTCTGGTTCCAAATGAATTTTAAGATTATTTTTTCTAGCTCTATGAGGTATGCTATTGTATTTTGGTCAGGATAGCATGAAATCTGTATGAGTTTGGAAGTATAGCCATTTTCACTATACTAATTCTGCTTAACCAAGAACAGTGGATAGCCTTCCTATTTTCCAATATCCTCTTTGATCTTTATTTCAGGGTACTATAGTTTCCTTCCCTCTCTTTTTTCTTTTTTTCCCCAGTACAGGGATTGAACTCAGGATCTTGTGCTTGCAAGGTAGGCATGGTACCACTGAGCAAAATCCCTGGCCCAGAGTACTGTAGTTTTCAACATAAAGGTTTTTTATTTCATTAGATTGATTCTTAAGCCTTCAATTTTTCTTGGTGTTATTGTGAAAGGTGTTGTTTCCCTAATTTTTTTCTCAGTGAGTTTATTTGTATACAGGAATGCTATTTATTTTTCAGTGTTGACTTTGTATACCGCTATGCTACTGAATTTGATTATATCTAGGAGTAATTTGGTTGAGTTTTGAAGGTATTCATCATGCCATCTGCAAATAATGATAATTTAATTTTTTCCTTTCCTATCCTTATTGCTTTTACTTCTTTCTCTTGTCTAATTGTTTGGGCAAATGTTTTCAGAATTATATTGAATAGGAGTAGTGATAGTGGGCTTGTCTCATTCCTGATTAAAATGAAAGCTTTCAGGTTTTGACCATTTAGTATGATGTTGGCTGTTGATTTATCATAAATGGTTTTTATCAGATTGAGATAACAATCTTCTACTCCAATGTTCTTTAGTGTTTTATCATGAATTGGTTTTGGACTTTGTCAAGTGCTTTTTCTGCATCTATTGAGATGATGATGTGGTTTTTGTACTTGGTTCTGTTAATATGGTGTATTACATTTATTGATCTGCATATTTTGAACCATCCCTGCATCCCTGGGATGAATCCTACTTGGCCATGGTGTATAATCTTCTTGATAATTTGTTGCATTCTGTGTGCCAGGATCTCATTGAGG